GTGGAGTTAAACAGGCCACTCCCAGTCATCTCTGCAGCTGGCCCTGACCACCGGCGGTCAACCCCTCAGGGCCCAGCATGGAGAATGAAATGGTTTCAGAGCTTAGAGCCAGAGGCTTGCATGGCACAAAATGGACACAGTCCAGGCCCATATATCATTAGCAGTAAGAGTGGCGGGGCGGGGCGGGGTGGGGGGGGCTGTTATTCACAAGAAGAAACAAAGGTTTCCACCAGACTTTCCTCAGGAAATCAGGGTTTAAGTCAAGCAGCTCACCACAAGATCTTAGCCCTTGGTTTCTGGTCTTACCTGTCATATTTTTGGTGGCATTAGAAAAGATAACTTGGGAACTTCACATCAATCAATAATTAAATCAAAGCTCTTAGTACTTTCCAGAGAATCGCAATTCAAATTTACATTAGCCCCTCTTGGGTCTCCAGAGCAGATACTGCATCAAAAAGTTACCAAGGATCTGGTTTATACCACTTTCAAAGTAAAGCCCATTATTAATGACAGTACAGACCCTAACGCCTACCCACTGATAGGCGAGGAAGAGCTCAGGGATCGGGAGCAGGGTGCCTGATGGGAAGAGAATGGAGTTGAACAGAGACCCACTTTGATTCCTGATGGGCTCTGCCCATCTGCTGTGGAAACTCCTCAGGGGTGTGTGTGCGTGTGTGTGTGGGTGTCTTCCTTTTCTTTCTTTCATAGAAAAGAAAGCATCATACATTGTTAGATGCCTTGCGTTTTTTTTTTAAATAATATAACGAAATTGGAACAAAGTTTAAGGCTGCTTTTAGACTTTCTGTCATCTCAGACAGTGGTCTCCAAATCTTTTTGCTGTCAACTTTATCATTAAAAAATTACTGAAGATACATATATATAATATATGTATTTAATATAAAATATATACCACTTCAATTAAAATTTCATAAGGTTAATATTGTTAATACAGCAGTGGCATGATTATACTCTCTAAAGAAATAATTATATATATTATAAATATATTATGTTATATATTTATTTTTATATAAATATATAAAAATATATTTATACATTATAAATATGTTATATATTTATTATATATAATTATATAACATAATTATATAATTATAAAAATTATATTTATGTGATATATTATGTTATAAATATATCATATATAAAATTATTTCATTTATAAAGTATAATCATGCCACTACTGTACTAACAATATTTACATTATGAAATTTTAATCGAAGTGGAAACTGCAAAAGGATAAAGATAAATTTTAAATACTTAATTTTAAAAAATTGAATTTGATTTTTAATGGTAAAAAAATGCTTTCTAAAATATTACTGTTAATATCTTCGATAGGACCAATGTGTTGAATATGCCTTGTCATTTTCAAAAAGTCCTGGGTTACCCTTTTGTCATATAGCCATTCAAACGTCTGGCTATACATACAGTTTATTTTAATGCTTGGTTTCAAAGTCCATCAGAGCTGAAAAAGACACTTAACAGAGATATATAGATTCAATAGAAGAAATGCCTCACCAGATGAGCTTTAGTAATTCCCAAAACTTATTTTTCAGTCTCATCTAATACACAGAGACAATTGTTGAAATTTTCTTTGCTTTTAAGGGTTTTTTAGTTTTGTTTTTGTAATGTGCATGTAGTAAGATGGGAACATTTCCAAACATCTGTTTTCAAAAGGCTCTTGCCATAGATCCAATTTCTTTTGAAAAGAAGTTAACTTCCTCACTAATTAATTTCACTAAGTGAAAATATCACTTCTACCTTGAAAAGATGGATTGTGTGTTTACTTTAAAAAATATATCTGCTAGGCAACATACTAACAATCGCCACTTGCGATGACAGCACGTCTGCAATGCTCGTCTTTTTGTCAAAGAAAGGATCCAGGACTCAACCTCAGGTTCCACAACTCCTTTAAATGCACTACCATGAGATAAGCAGTGTAGTACAGGAGTCCCCCTTGACCACTGGCCATCAAATTGCAGTGTTATAATCATCCTACTCTTTGAAAGGCTTTGCTTTTATGAAACTAATCACATTGATAACATCCTATATGAATGTCAATTGCAATTATTGACAATACGCTAGACGCGGGACCGTGAGAAGATGCTTCGGTGGACTTCCTCCGTGTGCCTCTCCCTCTTTGCAGATGTTGTCTGCCTACAGCAACTGCAGTCACATAAGACATCTGACTGTGTCATGTCTGTACTGAGGGAGGGCATCATGAGAATCCAGCATTACATACTAGGAAAGCTTAATTGTGTTCTCATTTTGAAATGAAGCAAATATAGACAGACATTCTGGTATTTTCTCCTTGGACTATAACAGATTGTCTTGAACATCTATGAAGGGCTTGCACTGAACTTGGAGTCTCTACACAAAGGACTCTCTACAATTAAATCCAAAAACTAGTTTTTCTTTAGTTTCCCTTTCTTCTAAAGTAAAATACTTGCCAGATTCAATCTTTTCCTTTCTTCTTCTAAAGTAAAATACTTGCCAGATTCAATCTTCATAGAACTGTATCCTCAAATGAGTTGGCTAGGGTTGCTCCTGGAAGATCTGGCAACTCGTGCCCCCACCACCACCTCAGCGCTCCCCACTGGCCTCGTACCTGGCAGGGTGATGATAAAAATGAAAACATCTACAATGTCCACGCATTGAGCTATTATCCTGTGCTACTCCCTATGCTAAGCGCTCTAGAAAGATAGTCAATTCTCTTTATCCACTGTAGCTCTGTTCTATAATGTCTATGCAGACAGAATTAGCAAATTCGGAACCATTGCTTCTAAGGGAAATATACGTTTACGTTCCTTCAAGCTTGTGGGTCACAACATTCTTGTCAACTGATCAATACATAACCTTAAGTGTGTTTCTTAGTCACCTTTAAAATGTTGATTCATTAATGTGGAACTCAGGGCCAACAGCACTTTAACTCATGCCTGAAAAAAACAAAATACCTGCTTGTATTTTCTCTGTAAGTCGCTTCACAGTCTTCTCGCACACTGGTCAGAACTTCAGCACTGTGCTTGAGGCCATTTTAAACAGCAAAATCAGCCACAAAAAAAGCACAAAAATGCCCCCCAAAATGTAGCACTAAACAGACTTAGAAAAGGACAATTGGGCTGGGTGTGGTGGTTCACACCTATAATCCCAGCACTTTGGGAGGCCAAGGTGGGAGGATCACCTGAGATTAGGAGTTCAAGACCAGCCTGACCAACATGGCAAAACCCCATCTCTACTAAAAATACAAAAATTAGCTGGGCTTGGTGGCGTGCACCTGTAATCCCAGCTACTTGGGAGGCTGAGGCAGGAGAATTGCTTTAATCCAGGAGGCAGAGGTTGCAGTGAGCCGAGAGCACACTACTGCACTCCAGCCTGGGCAACGGAGCGAGACTCCGTCTTAATAAGAAAAAAGCAAACAAACAAACAAACAAAGAAAAAGGCGATTGTTTACAGTATGAAAGCTGAAACAAGAAGGCAGAGTGTCTCCTTCTTTGGCCCCAGCTGGGAATGTGTATGCTGGGCAACTGAAATTTTTTGCCACTCTGTACATGACCTCAAAAAAGCAAGTGTATTGATATTGGGGTTACAAATACATTTTTTAGCAAGTAGACTTCATTTGCAAACATAGAATTCTTGAATAATGAGGATCGACTGGGTCATCTCATAGTACCCTTGTAAATAGGTACTACCCTAGTGACATGTGAACCCAAAAGAACCTCAGAAGTCTCTTCTTCTGGCTACCTTCCTTGGATTTGGGAGGCTGGTATGGTGAAGTGACTTCTCCTAAAACGTCCAGCGCATGTGTGATCCATATGAAACTAAATCTAGGTCTCCCAGCCAGTCAGTGCCCTTTCCAGTACATAGTTATGGGACATGGGACCAAATACAGCTAATTTAACTTGCAGATGGGACTACATGGAAAACTTCTTGCATCCTACCCTGCCCCAGTTTATTCTCTGCAATAATTAAAATCTGCTTTTGATCAGAATATTTGATTTAATGACTTCTAGGACATGGGTACAATGAACACTTTAAAAAGGAAGATCACAAACCTGAATGAAATCAGGCACAAAATGAGAAATTAAAGGAATAAACTCCATAAAATATTTGCCGCAAGAACAGGCTTTGACTTTTTAAATTTAATTCTCCACTGAGCCAATTCATAGATGGCTAATATGAGAAGGAAGTGATGTGGAAAAATCCACACATCTTGTAGAATTTAAAAGAGATGAGAGCACATGATACATAAATCGAAAAGATGTGCCAGGATGTGATATTTTAGTTAGAAAACTGCTAATGAATGTATATTTATAAAGGTATATATTGATGCCAGCTTATCTTAATTTTTTTGATATTCTAACAATGATACAAAATTAGGTTGTTCTTTATTTGGGGAAAAGAAGTAGAGAATTTGAAGCCCAAATTAAAATGGCTCTTATAACTAATGTTGTAGCCTGCAGGCTCTTTGAGAAGTGTGTACACCTCAAACTCAAAGAAGGGAAAAGAAAACGAAAAGGCAAAGATTAAGTTGGTTCTCTGCATAAGAGCCTCTGCTTATCAAGAATTGGTCCATCATTACTTTTATATATAAGATTTTTATTTCAAAGAATTCGTTTGTTCTAAGACTTTATACATTTGAGAATCTTTTCCCCAAAACGATTATAGCTTCATCCATTTATCTGGGATGATAATTGAGTGATTCTTATCCAATAATATTTCCAAACACCTTCATATGCATGGCATGCCAAACTTCCGTTATTGGCAGAAAAAGATGCTGTTACAGCTTTGTTTGTTACAACTGCACTTTTCACTTACTCTTAGAAGAAACTAAAAATTCCTATTCAAGACCCTAAATTTTCATTTATACCTCTTGTCTCAGTGTCACATCATCCATTCCTTTCATCCTTTAAGTTAAATCCTGTAAATCTTACTCATGTACTCATGTTAATTTTATAATAAACCATCTCCCCCCAAAAACAAAAGCTCACTTGTTTCAAGGATACTTTTTATTGATGAAAAAATCTTGCAGATATGAAAAGATAATTTTCTTATTCCTATGACATTTTCTGTTTTTACAATTTTCTTTTCAGCAATGAAAACCTCTGATGTTCTCTTTTGGGAAGGTAGTTTATCCAACATAAGGATCCCATCCTCTTCCATAAATGAATCGATTAATCATGTCAAAAGCTCTCAGAGGCTGGTCATAGGGTAAAATATGTCCTCCACCTCGAATAATTACCTTAAAAAGAAAAAGAACGGAAATTTAGAGAAATGGATATTCTAAATACATGAAAAGTTTTCATTCAGATTAAACTCTATTTAAAACTCACATGAAATACAGAACATACTCTCCCAAAGCATGCCTTTGGATAGGCTTTAATAATAGGCATGTTAAGGTAGAAAAGTTTTAAAACTTAGTTAATTTTACGCAAAGTTGTGTTCATTTCTCATGAGTGTAAAAATTGAAAATTATTCCTTGTCTTTTTCCTCTTGAGAGTGATCTGCCTGCTCCCCACAGTTGGGAGTGCTGGGCTGCAGGTGTTACCTGGTGAGGCCCACCTCCAGCCCACTACTTCTGGGGTATGTCAGGTCTGCCTGCAATGGGGTGAATTGTCTACTTAATTCCACCCTTCAATTAGCCAGCCCAATTGTCCCTCACACTGAGCCATACATTCCATCTTAGCCTTTATCAGTAATAAAGGGGAAATTTTGGTTCTCAAAAAAAATAAAGAAACCAAAACATCCTTGATGGAGGCAGGAGGATGACCTGAGCCCAGAAGTTGGAGGCTGCAGTGAGCTAGGATTATGCCACATGCACTGCACTGCAGCCTGGGTGACAGAATGAGACCCCATCTCTAAAAAAAAAAAAAACCTTGACACTTGAAATAAAAGAAAGTTATGTTTTGAGCAGCATAGAGTTAGAACATTCTTTTTTTTTCCTAATATTAGATTATAAAATATTTTAAAACATAGCAAATTTGAAAACAATTCATATAGTGATGATTTTGAGTCTCTCCTGAACATTCACTTTACTTGCTTTCTCACATAAGGGTGCCTCTCTCCATCCCACACCCATCCATTAATCCATCTTATCTTTCTGACACATCTCAAAGTGGGCACATAGCGCACTTCCCCCAAACACTTCAGCATCACATTATTCGTCAGAGTTCAATATGTGTTTACAGATTTTCTTCTTTTGAGTGAAGACACAATGAAATGCACTAGTCTTAAGTGTAGACTCACCACTTCTGACAAATGCATACATCTATGTAACTCAAGCCCTTGTTGGGTGATATAAAGCATTCCTAAAACATCTCTAATGACAAGTTCAAATCAACAAAAGGGGACTGGTCTCTGTACTCATTAAGCCTCTAGCATCAGCTAATATTCCAAGTAGAGGGAAACGGGAAGCTGTCATGATTCAATGCCAGAAGGGCAAGGACTGACACTGAGGGTTGGGAAGTTACATGCAGGAGAGGTCAGCCTGGCCTGAGATATCTTGTTCCATATGTGGAGAATGCACAGGAGGTACCAGAGAACGAAGTGAATAAACATATGCAAAAAGGGCATCACTTTCAGTAACTTCTAGCTGCTGAATCACAATCAGCAATTAAACGTCACTTTCACAAGGCCCTTCCTAAGAGGTTGGGTTCTTTTACTTGTCTCAATCTGAAGGAAACTGAGGCAGAAAAAGTATATTTGGATAGTGCATTTATTATATTGAAAATCTGCCCCTACCTCCCAACACATTCCATCTTACAACCTTGATGTGCGGTAAGTAGGATTAACACTATTAGATGATACTTACCTTGCAGCTCGCAGCTATACAAACTGTGCACTGCACAACTGCAGGGAGCACCATTCACATGAGCATTGAGATGACTGAGCTATTTGGAATCATTTAGTAGCTTGTCCAAGTCACACAACTGTAAGTGAGATAACTAGCTAGAACCCTGACTTCTGAAGCAAACACCGGTGTGGTGTTTTTAATCAAATCCTAGTACTCACACAATCATTCCTTACCTTTGAACTGGACTTCGCAGCTTAGTCATGGAACATTTTTATTCACCTCTCAATAGCCCTCTGAGGTTTATTGATGAAACAAAAAATCTTGCAGATATAAACAGATAATTTTCTATATTTTTGTATTTCACATATTACAGTGAGGGAGGCAGATCTCATTTGCAGATGTGGGACCAGACTTAACTCTTTCACATGCAAATGTGAAACTTTTGTGTTTTGCTGCAGTTGATCAAAGGTCATGTGTGCCTCACTGCAATGACAGCGAAACCCATCGACCATTTGTGTACAAGCTTGCAACTGGAAACCCAACATGTCCACTTTTTATCACAAACTGAAAGTAAACATGTGTGACAAGAACCCCTTCATAGGACTCTAGAGGGAAACTTTTGCCGCCCCGCAATCCCAGGCTAGACATTTCTTCCTGCAGATTTTCATCTGTATCTCTGGCCCTGGCAGGAATCTGATGAGTGATTTCTGTGTGGCTTCAGCTCAGCTGAGGACACTTAACAAAGTCCTATGTGTGACAAAACCCAGCTGCTTCAACTGGAAATGAGTTTGGCAGCAATGGTCCGGAACAGCAATAAATTGAATATCCGAGAGCTAAAGGTCATCCTGCCCCCAGAACCAGTGCTGCAGCTGACAAAGGATAAACAAAGGATAGCACAGTGCTTCACAGCCCGGGCTCAGAAGTCAGAGTGCAGGAGCATGGCGAGAGGCACTGCACATTGTGTGACCTTGGGCAAGGAACTTAACCTCACTGAGCCTCAGGTTCCTTTACTTTACAATTGGGAAACAAGTATTACCTCACAGGGTAGTTGTGAGTTGTGTGAGGAGTTAGTGGAATAACGTCCCTGGAATATTTAGTACAGTGCCCGACCTGGGATGGTCTTCAGTAAATATTGGTCATTTTCAGTATTCTTCCAACACTTATCTATATTCAAAATCCAAAATCAAAATGCCTATATCAGGAGGATCGCTTGAGTGCAGGAGTTTGAGGCTGCAGTGAGCTGACTGAGCCACTGCAGTCCAGCCTGGGCAACAAAAGGAGATCCCATCTCTAAGTATAAATCAATAAATATATATGTATCTATGCCTATGTGAACCTAACTACCCTAGAACATGGTGTTCCTACATTTTCATAAAAAACCCTTGGTTTAAAAAGGTTGTTTAAAACAATGGTTCTTGGCTGGATGCAGTGGCTCACGCCTATAATCCCAACACTTTGGGAGGCTGAGGTGGGTGGATCATTTGAAGTCAGGAGTTTGAAACCAGCCTGGCCAAGATAGCGAAACCCCGTCTCTACTAAAAATTAAAAAAAAAAAAAAATTAGCCAGGTGTGGTGATGCATGCCTGTAATCCCAACTACTGGGGAGGCTGAGGCAGGAGAATCACTTGAACCCAGGAGTCAGAGGTTACAGTGAGCCAAGATAGCACTACTAAACTCCAGCCTGTGCGACAGAGCGAGACTCCACCTCAAAAACAAACAAAAAAAAAAACAAAGCAATGGCTCTGACTTGAACGTGCATAAAAATACCTGCGCTCATTAAAAGAGATTGTGAGGCGTCACCTCCAGACTCTCCAGTTCTGAAGGTCCAGGACAGGGCCTAAGAATTTGCATATCTAACAATTCCAAAGCAATGCTGATGCTGTTGTTCCATCTACTTGTTGAGAACTACTGTTGATAATTTTTTCTATTCTGTGGCAAACCAGGGAATTCTCTGTTTACATCAAGGTAATTTCATTAACACCTACTCATGAATACAAGTAGAAATCTGTTTAATACCTACTCATGACCTCACTTCCTGGGCATCCAGTCTCCTGGTATTTATTCACACACATGCACACTCACACACACCTTCCCTGTCCATAATTATCAAGTGGTGAAGGAGAGCTGAAGGGGTCAGGTATTCTTACTCTTCCTCTCAGTGACCTACCTGACCCTGGTCCAATTTCTGAGCTGCCATGTGTAATGACCCAATGACATTGTAAATTGTGTCATTAAGATTGGGGGAAAAGAAAGCTCGTTAAGGAACAAAGGTTGTTTCACATGCCACAAAATTCCCAAACAAAACATATTCTCTCAAGCAGATTCACATATAGCATTTTACTGATATTAACTTCAAAAATAAATATATTTTTGAGTGTGGAAAAATAAACCACTTTGTCGTTTATAGTTAAGCCACTCAGCATTCACAAATCAAAGATACAGATCACTCGGCAGCTTTTAGAGGTGAGTAACAAAATGTGGCGGGGCTGTAATTACATATTTAAATGTGACAAGATTAATCTCAGGGCTCCCTGAATAGAGCTGTCTATTTTGGGTGCCTCCACACTATAGCTGCAGCCTCTAACCTCATGTGTTCCAGATGTTCCAGGGGGTCACAAGTGTGTCATGAATTTCAACAGGGTTATACAAACACTTTAAAGCTTCATTCCACTTTATTTTTTAGAAAACGATATAATTCTCCATGGAACTAGAAACACAGACCTGCCAGTAAAGGTTTCCCAGTTATGCCTGTTTAGATGACAGAAAAGAGAGGGAAGTTCACAGTGGGCTTGTTGATGTAGATGTGTCAGGGGAAGCTTCTTGGGGGTCTTGAAGGAGATCACTGGACGGAGAATGCTGGGTAGGGTAGGGGTGGAGGGATCACTGCAGACAGAGGAAACTGCGTGGAAATGCAGGGGGGCGTGGAAATGTGGGGGGCGTGAAACTGTGGGCACGTGCAGCAAGGGATCACCGCAGACAGAGGAAACTGCGTGGAAATGCAGGGGCCGTGAAGCTGCGGGCACGTGCAGCAGTCTGTGTGTCCTCCCATTCGTGCGGGAATAGAGGGAAACAGAAGAGACAGATGAATAGGCAGACACTAGCGGGACCATGTGATGCCCCAAGTGACATGCTGGGATGAGTGGACCTTATCCTGTCGGGCTTTAAAAGCAACTGTGGTAAAATACACTTAACATAAAATTACCACTTTAACCATTTTAAAGTGTACAATTTGCTAGCATTTAGTATATTCACACTATCTAGTTGCAGAATATTTTCATCACCCCAAAGGAAACCCATATACATCAGTAATCACTTCCCACTCCCCTCTCCCCAACAGCCCCTGGCAACCATTAATCTGCTTTCTGTCTCTGTAGACTTGCCTATTCTGGATATATCCTAGACGGTTTTAAGCAGGGTAGTGACGTGCTTATGTTTGCATTGTAGAAAAA